TCTCCTCCTCGCCTCTCGTCTTTCCTCCCTTTTTGTTATTTGTTGTTGTTTACCTGCATGTGTCCGATGTGCGTCTGTTCTCAAGATGTTAACGTTTTGTCGCATATCTGAAAATGCGTGAATGTGATCGCGGGACGCAGCGTGCAAACAGGAAGTAGCTCATCGGACAAAAGGGTTTCATTAAATGTACAATGAGGTCATTTATGTGGCGCTGAAAGGACAAATCTTCCGTCCCGGTGTTTAAAATGATCACTGCTGCTACGTGTTGCCGCGGGAGAGACGACGGTTAATGTTGTTTATGCCACCGCTGCTTAAGGGATGATTGTATCTCCCCAAAACCCGGGAGTGTCCCTGTGAGTCTTAATGCATTCATGTGTCTCCTGTCCCCGTCCAGCTGCTGGAGCTCTTCACCCAGTGGGACTGGTCGGCCTACCTGGCTGATTACGGCAAACCCAGCTGCAAATACCTGAGGGTCAACCCGCACACGGCGCTGGTCCTGCTGGAGAAGTAAAAGACACCGCCACCGTGTCCCCACTGTGTCCCCCCCCCCTGTGTCCCCCCCCGTCCTCTGTCTGCCATCCAAACAGTAACACTCAGCAGGTTCAATCTGTGGACAACGTGCTTATCGACTTGATGTTCGTGTAGCGCCGTTAGCTTAGCCTAAAGAACTACATGACTTATGACGGTGCACATTTCTGTTTATTTTATTTCTAAAGTCACTTTGTCACATTTAGCATCTTCACCTCCGTCTCAACTGCTCTCTGTCCTGTCTGTCCTCTCCGTCGTGTTTTGACAGGTTATTTAAGCCGTAAGTATCCTCTGCTGTGTGTGTGTGTGTGTGTGTGTTCACATGGTTAGACGCACGCACACCTGCCGCCTCCGAACGATAATCTTTGTGACGTGACGATACCGATGTTTATCGCCACGGCAACGCCCGCATTGTGTAGATCCTGTGGAGATAGCAACAAAGTACACACAGTTTTTGGATCCAGTGCCTCCCCCCCTCCCCCCCTCCTCCCCCCTCCTCCTCCTCCAGAGGCCCGGTGGTCCCTCTGTCCCCCAGAGGAAGCACGCGCTGGGGCCCCCGGACCTCCTGGAGGTCCTTAACAGTCCAGTGTTCTGCGACCAAACACACAGCGTGTCATGTGACACCGAGCGCGCACACACACACATCCTTTTCTTCTCTAACGGGATGTTGGACTAATAAGTGCTGGTTTGTGTACTTACAGCATTCAAACACGGAACGTTTACTGAGATGTGGGAATCGCTCATTTATGTCTACTTGCTCCTCTTTGTCCTACGTCCACGCCGCTTCCGGGATGAGGGAGACGAGCCGCTAGAACAACGTCTTCCCCCAGTTCAGGAAGCCGGACAGGGACAGGCAGAAACTCATTGACGCCATCCTCAAACAGCTGCGTCAACCTCATCGCACAAAAACTCAACTAGAGCGAGCGGGACGGAGAGCGCGGCGCCGCCCACCTCTCCCCGCCCCGCGGCTGGACGTGTGTGTAGATGCTGAGGGAGGAGCCACTCTGCTGAATTTTGTAACCCGCCGTCTTACACGGGCCACAACCTTGAGGGGCTTTGGGGGATCTGACCTATGACCTTCCCGTCTCATCCTCCTTCTCCGCTCGAAGTGTTTGAGGGCCTACATTACTTGGGACGA